GAGTTCCTATGGAGTCTCTTTTCTGGCAAAAATATCTGCGACAAACGATGGTTAGTGGCTCTTCTACCTGCATTCTGGCCGGTGAAATCGTTTTAGAAGAGTACCTTTGAAACATTAGTTTCCTAAAATGTCACTGTGGTCTGGTCCAATTGCTTTCTGCAGAACAGTTGGCGCTAGTATCCAGAGTAGATGCGGGTCGTGGAGAGCCATTTCTGCTCTGTAAACCTTCCAAGAAAACAATTTTGTGGGAAAGGAATTTAACCTGAGAATTCTCAATAAATCTGACTAAAAAATGCTGCACCTCAGTCTAGCAAACGCCGAAGACTTACAGAGAATGTGGTTTATACTATCCTGGTAATTAGCCTTACCAGGGCTTGTGACTCCCTTTTTCTTGGTTTAAGAAGGATTTTCGTCACTATCCTATCTGGCCTTTTCAGGAAACTTGTGATTGTTTTACAGATATTAGAACTCTCACGAGTCTTATTCAGAAGATTCTTGATTGGGCTGGCAGTTCCCACTATAATTGGCAACGGTTCAGTTAGGTAATCCAAAGATCAGGCTTCGAGTGATAGGCTTATTGTAAGATCTTTTTATACAACTTCTAAACAGAAAGTCCTATTCGAAAGAGCCCTGCGTAAAGCGCTTACTAAGAACAGTTATGACCAAAACATATCCCGCGGTTGAGGCTCTTTAATGCTCTCTATAGATTTTATATGGACACTTATAGGGTGAAAGCTTCGCCTGATTTAAAACAGGGACGACGATCAGGGAGAGGCTTTACCCTGCTGTCGTCCATATGGAAGCTTTTGGAGAAAAGTATTTTAGAACTTTCTAAAGGTTTTATATGGATCCTTATGGAGTAAAATCTTCCAGGGAAGGAGAGAGGTTTTACTCTATATAGACGACAACTGATAGTCATTGTTGTGAATCAAAGACGACAAGAGGAAGCTTCTGCATTGTAACTGTTCATATAAAATCTATAGAAAGCTCTAAAAAGCTCTTCTTCAAAAGCTTCCAGCAGAAGCTTTCACTCTGCAAGTGGCCATAAAAAGTTAAAGAGCTTTTGTCGAAGTGGAAGCTTTCTCTCCATAAGTGTCCATATGAAATCTATAGAAAGCTCCAAAAAGCTTTTACTCTGTAAGTGTCCATAAAAAATTCATAGAAAGCTCCAAAAGGATTTTATAGAAAAACTTCCAGTGGAAGCTTTTACTCTGTAAGTGTCCATATAAAATCTATAGAAAGCTCTAGAACGCTTTTTTCTCAGTAGATGTTTTGGAAACGACCGATTTAAGAGCACGCTTCATTTTTCCGACTGAGTCGCTAAAAATACATTCCAACGCATCTGGTAGTCAGAATAGTTTCAGCAACTTTGGGAACCTATGCCACAGCAAGGTTAATTTTTTTCTCTAACAAATGAAAGGACCACAAAAGCAAAAACTATGCTAAGTTTTTTCGCTTACTAATTACAATTAAAACAAATTACCGTCAAGGAGAAATGCGTTCTCTATTTACCAAGCTATCACTTGCCTACTTCATTAGCTATGTAAATACGGCCAGACCTACATGCAGATATTATATTTACTCTTCTACATATTGCTAATGAAGTTATGACATGACACCAAGAGCTGTATGAATAGAATCCTTTTAAGCAGAGGGTAAAAAATATGTTTCATATCAAAAATAAAAGTGGTCTACCACAGAGTAGTCATATTGCTGCTAACCATTGAGGGCCGAACAACTGCCAACTACGCATAAAACTTCACCGTTTGGAGCACAACGCTAACAGCTCGGCACACTAACTGGCTTGTAACACAAAAAGCATGCGAAATTGCCAAAAAATACGATTCTTACATTGATCTGGCGTACACCAGTGTGCAGTCAGACAAATCAGCATTTGGTTTGGACTTCAATTTATTGAAGTGTATGTCGGAATTACCCACATACATATTGGATATTGGGCGCAGTCAAACAAAGAACGTGAGCTCGTATATAACAGTTTTAGCCTCTTTGTGTTACCAACTTTCGCGGCGGCAGCAGACCCTTCGACGTCGATGTACCTACAACACATTTTGAGTATTTTGAATGCGAAGCAAACGCGCAAACATTTCCACAAATACATATTCATATGGCGCGATGCAAAGCTAGAACAGCTGAGTGCACTTTTCGAAGCCGTGTGGCAGCACAAGCAAATATTGAATTGAATGCAATTGTACTCACTGACCAGCGGCCCATAAACACATTTGAGCCCTTAACGCCGCAGGGGTTTGCAGTGAAACACATCACAGATGACGAATATTTCTACGACAAGTTGAAGAATCTACATATATGAGGGATTCACAACGGTGTCGTAAGTATTGTATTGTTGTATGTCGTAAACTTTAAAAGCTTAAATAAATGTTTATGGAACTTGAAACCACAACTAACTATTTTTTAGCACTGCGAGAGTGCATAATATGACTTTGATGGTACTTTTCGCACCCCCTCAATATATTTTTTAGGCGTTTAATGTTTACGACATACAACAATACGACACTTACGACACCGTTGTGAATACCCCAATAGTAGATGAGCTACGCATAGCAATGTTCAAGGAGTTCTTACGCGCTAAACCGCGCGTCGTTGCCACAGCTGGGCTACACAGGCGTGGATGGGCTGCTCGCGAGCGTCTGTATATGCAGCCAGCTAGCCAGCTGATAATGAATATTACGGCGCTTGCACGCGTTTGGTTTTCGTGGCAGACCGGTTTTCCGATAGTACCGCATATTTCTTCTAGTTTCTAGTTTTTATACCCGAGCGCACTTGTGCACAAGGGTATTATAACTTTGTTCACATAACGGTTGTTTGTAACAGGCAAAACGAATCGAGATTGATAAAGACAATTGTATAAATAAATGATCAGAATGAAAAGAGAAATCGATTAAGCGGTGTTTGTCCGTCCGTCCGTCCGTCCGTCTGTTCACACGATAACTCGAGTAAAAATTGAGATATCTTAACGAAACTTGGTATGTGTACTTCTTTCGGGCGTAGGACGGATGGTATTGAAAATAGGCAAAATCGGGCAATAACCAAGCCTACCTGCCATATAACGGTAGTTTTCAGAAATACGAATACTGCGATATTTTAGTTACTACTGAAGATTTTTTTGTTTTATTTTTTATTTTTATTTTTTATTTTTATTTTTTATTATTTTCTTCTCATTTAAATCCTAGGATTCTAAGGATTCTTAGATTCTCGATATAGTGCCCGCATATTCATCATGAATCGTCATTTTTATCTGGTAACACTATGGACAGAAAAATCTGTCTATGTGAGGCTTTTACTAGTCAGCCAGTTCTACCTAACCTTCCCATTTATTTTTATTTTTTGTTTTAAAAGAAAAAAACACATTTTTTATTGAATTTTATTTTTTAGAAAACTTATCGCTAAAAAATAAAACAGAATAACGCTAAGACCTAGTAGTAGGTGTTTCAATTAGTGTTTCGAAACACAGAAAAGCGCTTGCAAGATAGTTGCCAGAATCGACAATTGCCTTACGAAAGGTGAGTTGAAAACAGTTGCCAGAATTGCCCCGTAAATATAAAAAATAGTAATATTTCGAGTACATACGCTTTGGCAACACTTTCCATATTCGAACTCTATTTATGTTTTTTTTCTTTACGTAGTTCTTGTCATTTTCCTTTCTCCCAAAAAAATAAAAATAAATAAACAAACAAATTTACATATTTGGTTGAAATTGTTTTTGAATTGTGCCAAAATTTTTAGTGAAAGTTTAAATAAAATTAAAATTTAAGTATAGTCCTATATGATGAACAGCGGTCAAGAGTTCGATTCGCAGCTCACAGAGGACTTTCTACTATTTCTCGACCTGTGCCCGCATCCCAATAAAGTTTTCCAGCCAAATTCCGAAGAAAGCTGTTTGGCGATAAAGTGGCTAGATAAGCTGTGTCGCTACGAATGTGCCGATTTGGGTGAGCGACGCATGCGCAACATCTACATGAGCTATCTGTGCTGTTGCCTCATTGAAGGCGCACTAAAAGGACCATTTGCCAGCCAGCCGCGGGGTGGACGCCTCCAGAGTGTACAGAGCGTAGACTTCAATGCAACAAAAAAGCAGCCACTCTCCTGTCCTTCGCCGATGAGAGGTGATTTTCATCATCACCAATTTAAAAACCTTTATTAATATATATATATATATATTTAGTAAAGCCCTACAAGGAGTGCGATGATGGAAAATCAAGTCCTGGTAATGATAACTGCGATCAGCAGCTGGGTAGCTGCTGCTTCAGTAACGATGGTGGTGGCGGCGGCAGTTTCAATGGCGCTCGTGTCAGTATCGGCAGTAGTCGTGTTGGTGTTCGTTTTGGCGGTGGTAGTACCACACGCGAGCTTATGCGCTGCGGTCGAGAGGTGCACTTCAGTCCCGACATTCAATGTGATTCGGATATGGGCATGAAACCTACAACGGGCAATATTTTTAACAAATATGTGCTAGGTGAAATTACTGCGCCTAGCGCCTTTAATTCGTTTGCTTCGAACTATGACGCATCGTGTGACTCGTGTAAGGAATACGATCCATATTGGCAGGCGAAGCAGACAATCCGGCAAGATGCGGCCACCTTATTGGAAGCAATTCGCGCAGAGCTGCGTGGTGAAGTTGGCAGCAATTGCAATGATTATTTGGAAAGTGAGCTGGTGCGTTATAAGAATTTCATAATGAATTTCTCGAGTATTGCTTTCGTTCTCGATACGCTGAAATCGCTACCAGCATTGCGTACATTTCTATTGATAAATTTGCAAAATGATTTAATCAAATTAATTACAGACAATTGCCGTTGAGGTGGGGGAGCGCTGAGCATATGTCATGTCTGAAAAGTGTAATGTTGAGATAAATTTGTGTGCGTATCTGCTTGCTTGCTGTATGTCGCTTTAGCCATGGCTAGCGCTTTGGTAGTGTGCTCTTTGATTTATGTTCGAAATAAAGTTGTGATTTTAAATATTAATTATACGATGCTGTCGGTGTGAGAAGCTGAAGTCCATTTCTTCCCGATTTTCGTTCGCAAACCAGACAGCTCTTAGAGAAAGGATTTAGTGCTTCTCAGAAGAAGGAGAAACTGCTGTCTGAAAGATCCTTGTATACCAACTTAGCATTCGCAAAAAAAAGCACTGTTTCGGAAAACAAATTCCAATGACAATGAGACTACCGCAGACGCGCTTGTAGCTAGTAAGGCAACCTTTGCAAAGAGAACATATTGCCCATGAGTCTAGCTACGTAAGATTGTAAGCAAAAACGTTATGCGCTCGAAATGAAGTTCAGTAGGCAGCTGCTGCTCACCACAGAGAGTGCCTCGATTGTTTTAATACAATTCTACCCTAGCGAAAGTAGGCCAGCGGAGAAGAAAGTGCTCCTTTCCGTTCTCCACACAGCTCGGGATATACATACATTGGCTAGTGATCTAGTAGCACCGAGAGATAGTGCATGGTCTGTTGATGAAGCTTCTTTAACCACCTAGCTATACCACCGGGCAGCAGGACCTTACATCTTTACATGCCGAGATTTTCGCACTAGCACTAGGTTTCCAAAAGCGTGATCAGATCATCCCGAATTAGTGCCGATCGCACCGTATGCGCTCCCAAAAGCTCTGATTACTGCTGAAAACATCTACTACTTAAATAAATTAGTTTCAGTAAAGAAACAAAATTTTAGATGAAGCTTTTCTATATTGAGGTTCATATATGTACAATATAATTACTAGGTGATCTTAGAACGAAAAACCGGAGAACGTGAAAGTATGCTCTGCTTAAATTTTGATACTTCAAAACTTTTAACGTGTTCATCGGCTTTTCGAGGAATACCCCTACTATAAATATTGTACCTACCACAAAAATCTTGGCGTATTGAATAATTTTTTCGATGTGTAGCATCATTGGCTTCTTGAGATATGGATATCAAATGATGCCGATAACAATAATTGAAGCTATCGATATCTATGCATACATATGTCGAGAAATATCGATAACCAAAAAAATATATTGACCATGGTATATGTATACGGTGACCATCCGTCCTGTATTATACGGGACAGTCCTCTTTTTTGACCCATTGTACTGGCAATTTATTTATTTTATACGGGACGCCAAATGTTCTGTATTTCTTTTAATGTCCTAGTTTTGTCCCGTATTCGGTGTTTCGATGCCTTAACAAGCTCATTAAAATGACATGCCTATGAACGAGTTTTAAGTGATGTTGGTATATGATGGTAATTTTCTCCATAAACAAATACTACCTTCTAATCTGAATGCCTGTGTTTCGATTCGAGGAATATACAGTGAGCAAAATATAAATTAGGACTTGACACTTTAGCAAAGTTTGGCTATTTTTCCTTAGTTTCTTTAATATTTATTATTTTTTATGAAAGTAAACAAAAAAACATATAATACTGTTTTTGTGCGACTGCTAACACCAGGCGCCTAAATTCGTGCTATGTGCTGCTACATGTCAAATTTCCTTCATTAAATTAATGAAATTTTCGCACATGCACTTCTCAACTGCCATGTAATAAAACTTTCTTTAGTTATAATTTGATGGCTGTTCAAAGTATGGTAAATGAACTTTACGATTGGCCACACTGCCTACACACTTTTTACTTAAATATATAACCGATGCTCGGCCTAGTCTGCTGCATCCTCCGGACAATGCTTCCGGAGCCATTTGCGGACTCTGCATGACATACAATCTTGCAGAGGCGGTAAAAGAACTTTACCATTGGCCACAGTTCCTACCCACTATTTTTGCACCTATAAATTATTTTTTTTATACTCTCACTGAGTTTTTAAAATACCAAATTTCTAACTTCGTGCAAAAAACTATAAAAATTAATTCTGCAAGGTTTCAGCAAAATTTCAAACTCTTTAATTAGAACCTTTAGAAAAAATTTGGTTTGCAGTTTTGTACCTCATTAAAATTGAGTATAATAATGTGCCGCTCATTTACTTCTCTTTTAAAAAAATGGTCGAACATATTTACCTACTTTGTATGAAAAAGATGCGCAACATCGTCAACAAAAACGAATTGTCAAAGTTAACGGTAAGTCTTGGTGACTTCACAATCGCACTTAAGTTATTATACTAAAATTTAAAGTTTTTTTAAACAAGTTATGCGGGGTACAAATCTCGGGGAAAATTTCCTACAAATTTGTGATGTTTCTGCAAGGATGCTGTTTCAAGGCTAATCATTGAAGAAGGCTTTAAGATCCGTAAGTTTTTGACGAAAAAATCTGCATAATTTTTTTTTGTCCCGTATTCGGCTATCATAAATATGGTCACCGTATATATGTATCTACCTATTAAATTTATCCACATATTTCGATATATGTAGATAATAGTAGAAAAAATATCGATAAATTATCGATAACGGTATCGGACTAATGTAACGACATGTATGTATTGCATATAACGGTATCAAATGACGCCGATGACAATAATTGTAGCTATCGATATTGATAAATATCGATTAATGTATACATAAATATCGATTTCGAAAGCAACAGCGACAAAGATAAAATATGGTATTTTTAACGATGAAATTTATAGATAGCTAATCTAAGAATATGAGCGTACATAAAATATGAAGAATATGAATAATGTACAAAAAAATTTCGATTAAGTTATCGATAACATTATGGATATTGAAAAAACAATAAAATTATTGATAATGGTAACCATAAAAATCGTAAAAACATCGATGTTTTCAAGTATGTTTTGTGTATGGTCGCGGTATTTTTGTAAGGCCATATTTTTTAGCCGAACGTAGCTGTCACCTTTCACATTTTTCGTCATATCCTCGGCAATTACAGCCGGGTCTTAAAGTGTGATACATATACCGCTGTTCTTGTCTCTTACAAATAATTTTTAAGCGTCTTCAAAAAAAGGAGGAGGTTATCAATTCGTTGGAATATTTTTTAAATTTTTTTTATCTATGTTACCGCATAACTTTAGACCACGTTAACCGATATCTTTTTTTTTAAGGCAAGGTGGTCCAATACTAATTTGGTTTAGATCTGATCATTGGATCATGATGAAGTTAACGGTACTCTTAAATTTGTATATGTAAATTACTTGTTTTGTTTCGAAGTTCATTGACGTCAAGTGTACATATCACGTTCTGGTACTTACCCACCAGATCTCAGTTATTATTCTATTGTACCACCCTAATGCTAGTAAAATAAAAAATCAGCAAAAATCATGAATCTTTTGCTAAGCAAGTATTTCGTTTAAACCAGTAGAACTTTGAAAATAATTTTACGAAATTAAAATTTTTTAATTAGCACCTTCGCCAAACATTTGCAACGTCTTTTGTAAAACGATTTTTTTTTTTCAAAATAATACCAAAAAATTTCTATTCAACAACTAGTGAAAAATACTTTATATTTATTTATAAATGAACAAAAAAGAAATTGACCACAAAGCATGAAATGTGATGAAAGAAAAATTTGCATAATCTATAAAGTGGTACAGCTGCAAAAGGAAGAGACGCCAATTGAAAGTGCCGCAAAAGCTGATCGAAAGAAAGGCTTCCATAAAGTGTTCAACATGTGCCTGAGTTTAAGGAATCTATGTAATACATGCAGAGGTTTGTAGCACAAAATATGTATTAAATGCATAAATGTTTTAATGGACATTAGGATGCATCACTCGCAAAAAAATAAAAATAAAAATAAAAAATAAAAAACTAGTACTTATTTCATTGGAAGATTTACGTGAGCTGGCCATATTTGAAAGTACCAAAAATCAATTTTTTTTTAAATAAAATTAGTTTAAAAAAAAATATTTTTTCTAAAAAGTCACCTCAGATAATAGAAGAGTTTAAGATTTAAAGGTCTACATAAAACTATTTAAAAAATTGTATCAACGGAATCAAAATAATGAGATTTTTTAGAGGTATTTTCAAATCGGCCCGGCACACGTAAACCGAAATATTTTGCGGAATTCTTAAACCATAATAAATTTTATAATTCCGGTGGAAAAGCCGCATCCTAGTGTACATACATGTTGTATGTAATTAAAAAAAAAACTTTAAATTTAAGAAATGCTAATACATATATACAGCTACGTCTTGCGAAATAACCAATTGCTTCTAATAAACACATATTTTATTTGCCAAATTAGCAATCTAATCATATGTGATTAATCTCTGTCGAGCCTCTTATTTTTATTATTTATTTTTTCGTATATTTTTGAAAATAATTTGTGCCCTCAGTAAAGTCACAAATCGCTTGGGTGTGTTTTTCTTCTTCTTATGTAGACTCACAGACGACCACGAGGAATTTTTTTTCGATTCTAAAAATAAATGCATTTAATGCTTTGCTGTTCACACTGTCACATTGCTACTTATTTACTTATGTCGTCGTCTGCTTTCTGCAGGCTAATATATACTTATACTCACCTAACAACAGTTGAAGAAAGTACCAGTGCCAATTCAGTCTGAAAGTCTGAAAACATTTCGTTTTCCAGTTTTCTATTGCGAAATTTTGCGATTTTTTTCGAAAATTTTCTTTTAGAAGTGTTGTTTACTTTGCTCGCTTCCATTTTCTTTTGTCTCTATGAACTTTCTTCTGCCAACATCGCTGCTTTAACGCAATTTTGAGCAAACGCCAAAAATTCTAAAAATTTGTTTAACGAAACTATTTTTATTGTTCGGATATTTTAAAGTTCTAGTCATTCCATTTGCTTGAATTCCAAACACTTTCTGTACATACATAGGTATTTAGTATAAAGACTAGTTTGCTTTATAATAATGAATTTTTACGATATTTGAATATTTTGTTTTTTTTTTATTT